CACATAGTCATGTACAGTTAATTATTTGTTATAAAAAATGTTTATAAACAATTTTTTTAATTCAACATCAATTAATATACGTACGCTTACGTGCATGCGTACAATTAAGAATTTGTTATAAAGAATTTTTATAAACAATTACTTATGAACCGAAACAACATAATTCACTTATTTACATACACGTATATGCATTTAAAAATTTAATTAATTTTTGTCCATATATAACAGTGTATAATATATATTACTATATATCACTCCTAGCAAAATAGTGTTTTGTGCGATTTCGAGATATCGATTTCAATTGAAATTCAAAATAGTATGCGTGAAGTTCAGATGAAGAAGAATAGACATATACGTGATGATGCTGTGAGTGTGACGAGAACTCTCTCTTTTTCGTAGTATCCTCGTGACGTCGCATGGTGTGAAATTTTTCTTTTTTCCAGAAAATTATATAGGTCACTCCGTGCTCTTTTCAGGAATAAATTTATGCCAACGTACATGTTTCAACAAATTGATCTCTGAACGAAACGAAAGATTTTTTTCGCATAGAAAAGAAGAAAAAAAAAGAAAAGGAAAGAAAAAAGGGGCAAAATAAATTTCATAATTTATATTCATAGATCCAGATAATTTTGTAATAACACATATATTCTGATTACAGATAATAATATCTCTTTAACCAATAATATTTCTAACAATCATTTAATAGATTAATTAAGAAAAGTAAAAGCGACAAATTTCGTTGGAAATGTTCTTTCATATACCATACATAAAACTGAACATCATTTATTATTATATTAGATGGTGAACATTATTCAAGTCACCATTATTATCACGTTCTTACTTGATTTACGATCTCTCATCTTTTACATTCTGTATTACGTTCCCACATACATATACACGCACATATACCCATACACACATACATTCACGCACATACATACATAAGCACATATTATGGTTATTAAACCGTTATAAATTTACGAAGTGATAACGAAGAAGAAGAAAATCTAGTAGATTCTTCATGCTTATTCCGTCATCTTCCAAGTAGTCGAAGTTATCAGGCATATCTCAATGTACGTTATAACATCCTCCGTGTTACATACTTTTCGACCTAATACTTGTAAAGGTATACGTCTAGCAGAACTAGACACTATAACGTACTCAGTCTTGCGAACGTGCCTGCAATGATAAGTTAGATGCTCGATAGAGGGATGATAAATTTCTTTTACGATCCAGACTTGAATATCGTTCGTTTTTACGTTGAAGGGAGAATAGAGAAAGAAATGAAGTGTAAGAGAGATAGATAGATAGAGAGAAAGAGAGGGAGAGGGAGAGAGAGAGAGAGAGAGAGAAGGACAGAAAGAAAGAAAGAGAATGGTGATATTAGAACAATATTGTAAGGTAAGTGCAGAATAAGCGCAGAATAAGATGTTAGAACAACGTTGTTAGAATCGGAAGAAAGACTTCACGATAGCGAATGGAAGAGAGAACGGAAATATTTCCTGTAGTTTCTGAAATATTTCTAACACGAAGGAAGACCAACACGCCGCCGCCATCATACAGCGGCCACTTATAAGCAGAAACCATTGTGCTCGTTGAGAATACATAATGCTTTTGGCTTCCGCACATTCGCATCTCCGAACTTCTACTTCCTCCTCTTCATTCCCTACTATTCCTCTTTCCCTCTCTCTCTCTCTTTCTCTCTCTCTCTCTCTTTCTTTTATAAATTGCTATCCGATCGCTCTGTACCTGTGCCACTACGAGACTCGTTTCCAGGCGATAACGCGATACGAAATTGAGACAAGGTGTAAAGGGGTTAAGGGATGGATAGTGGGAAAGAGAGAGAGAGAGAGAGAGAGAGAGAGAGAGGCAAATTCGAAATTTGAAATTCGGTGCTCGCGTAAAACGGCCTTCGTTCGTGACGCATAGTAATAACGGGTTGATAGAAATTTTGAATATGAATGGAATCTGTGATCTACGAAGCTTGTTATCATTTAAATAGTGAATATATGGTGACATTGTTTCTTTTATGTATGTATAATATATTCATTTTGTTTAAATTGCATTTTATATGCTTCACGATCAAATGAAACGAACGCGTTCGAGAATAAAAGTTAATCTCATTTATATAATTTGCGTATAATATTATTGAAACAAACGAAGAAGAAACAAAAAACAAAAACAAAAAAAAAAGAAAAGAAAAGAAAAGAGGAGAAAAAGAAAGAAATAAAAAATAATCGTTATGAGCGTATTGAAAATGCGCAATATGAGATAAAATGCGTAATATTGTATCGCACATGAATATAAATATTTTTATATGTTAATGTTGAATTGTTATAAACGTAATTGTGATTCAATGGAAATTTGTGTGTGAAACAAGTGCCGATAAGTATTTGTTTTTAATTTTTTCTATTTCTTTTTCTTTTTCTTTCTTTTTTTTCTTTTTTTTTTTTTTTTTTTGTTCTTTTTTTACATCTACGTCTCTATCATCAACCCGTGCGTATTTCATAAGCTTACTCCCGATCGCAATACTCTCCTACGATTTATTTTACTTCACCTGTTTCTTTTCTTTCCTCTCACTCTCTCTCTCTCTCTCTCTCTCTCTCTCTCTCTCTCTTTTCTTTTTCCTTTTTTTTTTTTTTCCTTTTGGTTCAAATTCTTTTTTACTTTTTCTACGGTCAGTGCGCAAATCCATGTGAGATTCGGTGGTAGCCGGCAGGCCTGTTACCGGAATACATACATTTGCATACGTTTCGAAGGGTCGCACGAACTCATTTGTCATTCGGTATCGCGACGATGTAACTACGGTTACGATTTACCCAGAGCCATCCTGCCATATAAGCGTTATTCTTTCTCCCTTTCTCTTTCTACCTTTTCTTTTTCTTTCTCCCTTTTCTTTCTCTTTCTCCCTTTTCTTCGTTTGGTATCTTTCTTTATTGGTCTTTTCACCGAGCGTGGATAAAACGAAATGGCAGTGGAAACCGAAACCGAAGCGATTATTTGTACGATAAGAGTATCTCGTGTTAACTTCGCTAATTTAAAAGCTCTAGCAATTTTCAAATTCTCGATTCTCACGTTCTTTTCGTACGTGCAATGTGCAATGTCCATTGAAAAGAAATGAATGAAAAAATTTTTTCATTCCCCATTAAATTATCTAAGAAATTATCAATGTCCTTTTCTTCCGTTTCTTTTTCTTTTTCTTTTGCTCTTTTTCTTTCTTTCTTCTTTTCTTTTCTTTTTTCTTTTTTTTTCTTTTCTTTTTTCTCTTTTCTCTAGTCAAAAATGTAATTGCAAATAAAACTTCCTGACGAATTTGTTGAGGTATAAAATTAAAAAGTTTATACACATAATAGAAATAAGAAGTACGTGTATTTTTAACTCGTAGAATTCAATATATTTAATTAAAAGTTCAATTTGGTTTATGAACCGAAGACAACGAGCAGTGGTAAACAATGTTTATTCTAACGAATAAAATGACCTTTCTATGAAAGAAGTCTTATTTAAACTTCCAAACAAGTTAACAAACAAACAAACAAACAAATAAATAAATATAAACTATTTGTAGAAGTAGTAAGAGAGAGAGAGAGAGAGAGAGCAAGAGAGAGAGAGAGGGTGAAAGAGAACAAGTTGGACAAGTTAAACAACTTTCAATAAGAACTTATCCCCTTCGTCGATCGACAGGGTTCACCATCGAGTTTTTTGCAAATTTTTCTCCGTCCTTTCTGAGGAACTTGGTCGATCCTTATATTCTTGAAAAAGCGACAAAATGGAACACGTTGAGACGGCATTGCGGGTACGGTAATACGGAGGAAACTCGAGGAAAAGGGTATAACCTTCGAAGAGAGGAATGAAAGGGCTTGGGGAAAGGAGGGAAGAGATGGGGGGGTGGGAGGGGGTGGTGAATGCACGAAGGTGCTTGCCCGACGAAGGGTAGGTACTGCAAAAGTTACTCGCTGGAAAATATACAGCCTGCGCGCTTTCAGGAAGTTCGGATTATCGGAAAAGCGGCTTGGAAATACGAGTTAGTGCGAAGGCGTATCCTTCTACGGCCACGAACTTCTCTCTCTCTCTCTCTCTCTCTCTTCCTCTCTCTCTCTTCCTCTCTCTCTCTCTTCCTCTCTCTCTCTCTCTCTCTCTCTCTCTAACTATCTATCTTTCTCTTTTTACTCGTATCGATTGCAGGAGCAAGAAACGAGAACGTTTCGTTTCTCGAATTAAGTCGTCAATTCGAGTGGCGTGGCCAGTTAAAAGGTTCCTATTATATTCTTAAAATCCTGCCTGGCGCTTATCGAAACGTTCTAAGAATACAATACCGAGAAACTTAAGACTTTTATTGTTTTTTATGAATTTTCTTTTCCAAATGGATGTGAAAGAGATCGGTTACTTTATTTACATAATTGAAATAAATCAATCTGTTGAAAGAGAAGAAAAAGATAAGGAATGAGAAGAAAAGAGAAAAAAGGAAAAAAAAAAAGAAAAAAAAGAAGAAAGAATAAGAAATTGGAAATAATCGCTAACCATTGATTTTGTTTTCCTTTTTTTTCTTTGTTTTTGTTTATATTTTTTTTTTCTTTTTTTTGTTCATATTTTTTTTCTTTTTCTTTTTTTCTTTTTTTGTTTATATTTTTTTTTCTTTTTTCTTTTTTTTTGTTCATTTTTTTTTCTTTTTTATTGTTTATTTTTCTTTTTTTTTTGTTCATTTTTTTTTCTTTTTTTTTTATTTATTTTTCTTTTTTTTTTTTCTTTTTTTTTTTTAGATCGATATTAAGAATACAACATTAAATGTTGTATTCTTATATATCGGATGTTACAATTAACATTCGTTTGATTTGTTTGTTTTCCTATTTATTTATTTACTTTTTTTTCATTGTAATACTTCCTATAAAGAATGTTAAAATTAGCTACAATTTCTTTTTCTTTTTCTTTTTTTTTTTCTCTATATCGATCGATCATTCGATACGATCACTCCAATCGTTTTTCTTTTTTTTTTGATGTTTCAGGCGTACGTTGACCTTGTGAAGGCATGGGGTTGGAAAAGCTTTACCATCATATACGAGAATAACGAAGGACTGGTACGATTGCAGGAGCTTTTAAAAGCTCACGGTCCAAGTGAATTTCCCATTACCGTTAGACAACTTAGTGAAGGCTCGGAATATCGGTGAGTTTTACGTATTTCTAAGCCTTCACGTAGCATTATAGTCCTTCCACATCACTTTATCTTCACCGTCCATTCACTTTTCTCTTTAGAAAAGAACGAAGAGCACGTACATATACCATTGACCGATTGATCCGTTCTTGCTTTTTTGTCTTTCGATCGATCGTCGAACTTTTTTACAGGAGGAAAGAAAAAAAACATCATTGATGTTTTAAATCACTTATCTTGTTTCTTTTATATTTTCTTTTCTTTTTTTCTTTTTTTTCTTTTTTCTTTTTTTCTTTTCGCGTAAACGTACGAATTTTTGATTTTTTTTTTTTTTTTTTTTTTTTTTCAAAAAAATACGCAAAAGAAATATACATTTTTTATTATCGTCGATAACAATTCAATTTCGAAAGCATTAAGAGTGAAATTCGAAATGTAAATATTTTAATATTTCGAACGTTGTAATCCATTATAATATTATATTTTATGAAATGTTTACTTGCAAAGATATAAAATAAAAAATAAAAGGAAAAGGAATATTTCTCTCTCTCTCTCTCTCTCTCTCTCTCTCTCTCTCTATTTCTCTCGTAAGCATTATTATGCGAATTTGAAGTCCTTACAGATACGAATACACAGATACCAATGATTTTCGGTTTTCCAATTTGAAAATGGATATTCTTGAAAGTGATCAGGCGATTCGTCAAAGCTACGATTCCCATTTCATTAACCCCTCCCCACGTATATTCATCAAATGAGGTATAGATCGCATTTCGTAGATCGAATATATTCGTATGACACGAGAGACGAGAATTTCAAATCTCTATTTTTCTGCGATCCGTTACTTATCGTTTTGAAAAACAAAGTGGTAGTTCACTCGTTTTTCTTTTTTTTTCTACCACCCGCCCCCACCCCTCGCGGCCCCCTCCCCTTTACCCCGAGGCTAAATCGTTTTACATTCGGATTTTGGACTTTTATGCATATGCAATCTTTTTTTTTTTCTTTCTTTTTTTTCCTTTTTTTTTTTTTTCAATTCACGTTTCACGGTGAAACAATGTAATCCATATTGTGTGAACGTATTCGAAATCGAGCATAGCGAGGAGTAGAAAATTGTGCATTGAAAATTTTGTGCAAATCGAAATATTAAGATAAAAGTTTGCCGACATGAAAAATTTTCTAAAATATATATTACACATTTATAAATATTATTTTAAAAGTATATTTAAAAAAGGATATATCGTGTTATTAAGGTCAACGTATATTTTATCGATTCTTTTCTATCGTTTTCTATTTCTCTCATTGCCGGATGTAATTTCAAGACAGGCAGGAAGTTGAACGTCGATCAAATTAACGGAAAAGCAAACATCTGATGGGAAACGCGATCGATGTTGGCTGATATGTGGTACGAACGTACCGTAACAAATTGAACGTCTGACTCAACGCCTTGTCCACAATGATCTTACATGAACATCGTGATCGTTATTATATTGATTCGATCGGATTACACATTGACCGAATTATCGTGTTACGTTTGTTTCGATAAAATTTCAAAAGAAAAATTGACAATAAAAATAGAAGAAAAAGATATCAACGTACACGTTGTCGATTACAAACAGGGATATATAATACAATCAATGGCGATATATTTGCACGTATATTAATTTCTACAATTATTAATATAAAAAGTAATATAAATCATTATTATATATTAGATAATTATCGTTTATTGTTTTATATAATACGATATTTCCTTAAAACATTGATATTTTTAATTATAAGTTCTTTGATATAATTTAATTTAATTATGAATATAACGTGATAATACGCGTTATAGTGCTTTTTAGTTTATAAAATAGCTGATAATAGGAATATTTTCTTATCGTTCGTTTCTTAAATGATATCGAACATTTATGATACCTAGTTATTACATATTTTACACATAGGATAAGGATCAATGAATTTACATATTCAGATGTGAATACAAAATGTATATCTCTTTGTATTTTTCTCTCATCTCTTCGAAATATGTATATATATATATATATATATATATATATATGGACACAAATAAGTGTATTTGTGCATTTGTATACAGTGAGTTCGTAAGAAGTTACGGGTAGAAACGTTTAAAGAAATATATCCGCTCTTCTCCCTTTCATTCTCGTCGGTTTCACGCTATCTGCTCGTTGAGAAAATTCTCTCCTATGCTACATTATTCATAAAGATCTACGACAGTGACAGTGACTTATCGCGAATGCCCTTCAACTGTAAAGAGAGCAACTACAGGATTTGAATAATTCAGTCTCAGATTCGGTAGGACCCATTCGTGCAGTCTTTTTCGTATAATAATTCATGATTTTTCTCAAGAACACATCTAACCTTTCGTGATAACTTCGAAGTATTTTGTATTTCCTTTCGAAAATAAAAAACAAAAAGAATAAAAAAAAAAAAAACAAAAAAAATACAGGAAATATTAAGTTATATTATAGGAATAACAAATGGCTGATAATCTGAATTTCCCAGATCTCACTACCTTCCTAAGATCTTCTATGATGACATTTGAAAGATCATACATATAATACTTGATGACAATAAATTCCTACATAAAGAGAAAAGAAAAAAAAAAAGAAAAATGAATTCTTTGGTTTATATTTTATTTGATAAAATTTATGAAAAAAAAAAGAAAAAAAAAATTAAATGAACGTACCGATCCGAACGTATTCAAGTGAGATCAATTGATAAGATGGCTCTTGATTGTGCCGTATAAAATCTAACGTAACTTAACGTAATCGCACACGTTAGAATTTTATTTCCATAAAAAAAAAAAAAAAAAAAAAAAAAATAAAAACAGAAAAAAGGTAAACATTTTCATTTGTTCAAAATTTATATAATAATATTATATTTCTCAAGTTGGAATATTTTCAATTTGGTTAAGAGATATGAAATGCGCCATAAATTCTGACTTTGAATACTACTACGAACCCAGACAAATGTCTTTTCACTGATAGAATGGAAAGTCATAGAAAGTTTGTATGAAAACTATAGAAACGATGTAGATCGGTATGATAGTGATAGCAATGATATGATGCCGGTGGTAGATACGGAAATAAAGTCATTCCTTATTTTCCACGAAAGGAAACGGACGGAAGCCAAGTCATGCTTGGTCGTATGACAGAAAGAAAAGTTTTCCCGTTCTTGAAGTGTACGAACAAGGTCGATGTTAGTTCACAATTCCATAGAAGATAAGAAGCTTCTAGTGCCGACGGCGATGCTTCCGATTTGTCGATTCTGATGTTCTCGAAAGAATAATAAAAGTGAAATGATTTCGAAGAAGGAAAAGAAAACAATTTTATTGTTTCGTGATCGTAGGAGTATATTGTAAAAGTATAAAAAAAAAAAAAAAAAAAAGAAAACAAAAGAAAAAAAAAAAAGAAATAGTATCGCATTTAGAAACATTAGTATTTTATATTACTGAGATAATACGCAAATTCGTAACTCCAATATTTCGATATAAAAAAATAAAGAATTTATTTTGAGATAAATAAAATGTATAAAATCAACGAAACGAAATAAAAAGTTATATTGCAGTAGTTATAGCGTAGGTAAAAAAAAAAGTTAGTAAAAAAAAAAGTAAGTAAAAAAAAGTTTGAGTAAAAAAAAAAAAAGAATTAAGAAGAATAATGGAAAAGTATGTGATAAAATGATACATGAAGTATAGTTAAGAGTACGTGTGAAATGGAGAAAAAGAGAAATAGACAAGTTAAAAAGAAGATAGAGAGAGAGAGAGAGAGAGAGAGAGAGAGAGACAGCATAGATCTCACAAGGGAACAATAGTGAATAGGCGAAGAAATGTGAAGGAAAAGAAGGGAAAGGTAAAGGGAAGGAGGTACTCACATTTCTCTCTGAAGACGAACGTCGTCGCACAAGGGAATCGTCTTTTCTTTTCGATACGCAAGTCATTCGATACGTTCGACGAACCGAGAAATCGCGTGTACCCGATTCTTTCTGTCGGGTTGACAAAAGATATGATAGCTCTAGGATAACTGGTAAGAGAGTTTTGATAAGAGTTAACGTTGTACTTCGACATAAAATTGATTCCCTTATCCATCTTCTTAGCGATCGATTGAAACTCATCGAGCTCTTCGAACTCTTTGATAATACTAATAGAATCTTTTTTCTTTCTTTTTTTTTTTTTTCTTTTTTTTTTTCATGAACTCCTACGTGATTTCGACGTTTCGCATTTTCACTTTAATATTTATCTAGAGGATGTGAGATGAAACAATGAATGGATGCGAGATGAAACAATGAATGGATGCGAGATGAAATTATTGAATTTCACGTCGAACTCAAATTACGATATCTCTTGTTCGATGATATCGTAGAAATTTATTTAACGCTATTAATGTATATAATATATATATATATAATCAATTTTTTTGCATATTGCAGAATTTGCAATATGATGTAAATATATATATATATATATATATATATATATACCCAATATACCCAATATACCCAAGAACCTCGTTACGATGTTCCTTTTACCTATAACTCTATATGTATATACATATACATATATATATTTTTTAGATTGGATTTCGTTAATAATTTCGATAGAACAAGATCTCCATCAGTAAAAATATCGTACCTCTACGATATAACCAAATACATTTGTTACATGGTATACATGCATATACATGTGCACTCATACGAATCAAAATTTTTACACGGTACTCTCTGTATCTCTTTAAAACCATTCTAATTATTTTTAATCCTCTTATCATCGAAGACGATGGATACTACGTCATTGTTCGTAGTTAGATCAAAGGATCTACATATTTATCGTTAAGTCGGATTTTAGTTCGTCGTAAAAAAAAACTTTTCTTTTTCAAATAAATTGTAATTTTAATCAGCTGAGATCGAGAGACAGGGAAATTGACTGACTGGTAAGCTCTTTCATTGAAGAGAGAAAAAAAAATTTATTACTTAAAACGTTTCGAACAACGTCAAAGTATTTT